CCTGCATCAGCGCCGACGGCCGGAGGGATGACTTCGGTGGACCGCTCGACTGGACACGGGGAAGTATGGCGACTTCGGAGGGGAGTTTCCGGGGCACCGAGCGGCCGCACGACCGCCGGGCCCCACCGCACGGCGACCCCCCGGCCCCGGGGGCAGAGCCTAGGACATCGGCGACGAGGAGGACGGAGGAGGCCCGCGGAGCGCGCAAGCAGAGAAAGTCATCACAGCCCCGACAACGAGTAAGGTACCTAGCCAAACTTGCGTCTGCGTGTCGCCGTGGCTCCGCCGCCCCCCCGACGCAGGATGTGATCCCAGAGCTATACTCGACGACAGGGAAAGACTTTCCTGTACCTGACTGGCCGGGGCGGCCGGGGCCCGACCCTCGCTCGGGGCCCGGGTCTGGTGTCGCCCGTGGCCTACCACCGCACAGCGGGGGTGCGTTGCGGAACCAAATGCAGCGCCTGACTGACGCCTTTCAATGACATAATTTGGGTTCAAATTGCACTCTGAGCTTAACAAATTTTGCGGATTTGAAATTAATGACCTCAAAAACCGTAGAGTTAAAAAAAAGTGGAAGTTTCTGCGGTTAATTTGACTTATTATTAATTGCAGTGGTGATTTTGACTTGAATTAAATTCTCGTCAACGATGTTATTGATACTGATGACGCGAAGACGGCCTGGGAAGAATTGGACCGGATTTGCAACAGAAATACGGAGTACGGCGCCATGGTGAAGTTCAAGGAGATGTTCAGTGTGTTCAAGACTGCTGATGTGAGTATGTCCGAGTACATCAGCAAACTGATCAACATGAACAACACCTTAGTGAAGAACGAACTTGGTTTACAAGACAAAGGACTGGCTGCCCTTATCCTAACGGGGCTGCCAGATGAGTACGAGATAACTGTGAAAACTTTGGTTGCTGCCATGCAGATTAAAGTCTCCGAAGTAAAGCATGCTTTACTGGAGGTTTTTTTTTATAACTGCAGTACTTCGGGAACACTTCGAGCCCGAAGGACTAACGGCGGGAGACCGCCTAACCTTCCAACACAGACTCCAGCAACATTCTGAGTCGGTGCTCGAGTACGTGACGGCTTTGCAAGCGCTTGCACAGCAGTGCAATAGGGTATTTCACCTGAGGCAAACCGGATCCAAAGAAGAACAAGAGTTCTTCCTGATCTCTTTCCTCCTTGGCGCTGATTGGTCGACGCCGACGAAGTTCTCGGACCCGACACAAGGGGTCGACCGCGCTTGCGGCCAGTTCATGAACTTCGTCGGCGTCAGACAATCAGTGCGAGGGAGGAAAGAGTTCGGGAAGAACTCTTGTTCATCTCTGGATCCGGTTTGCCTCAGGTGAAATACCCTATTTCGCCCAGGCCTATGAAATGTCGACGATCAACCAATAAAGCATTCCGGTAAAGCTAAAATGCAGAAGAATGCGGGGAACAAGAAAACGGAACTCACCATGATAATGAATGGCGATTTCCGTTTTCTTCTTGCCCGCATTCTTCGGCATTTCAGCTTTACCGAAATGTTTTATTAATCATTGGCATCAGGCATAGCGATACCAGAGCGAAAATCACGTCGGTCGACCTATCTTGGGCTCAGGTGAATTTCATCGCCCCGAGCGATGATACACCCAACGCACTAATGAGGTCCATTGCGCAGGCTCATCAAACTCGGAACTTTAACTGACTGGCACCTTTTAAAACAACGGGGAACTATAATTTTACCGGCGGGAGATAAGCAGTAGGCACTGTATAGAAACGTGGCTTTCCGACTTAAAAACGTGCAGAACAAGATTGGTCAGAAGGCCCGTTCCCTGTTATTTACTTCAGTCCAAATAAAGTATTCCGGTAAAGCTGAGATGCAGAAGAATGCATGGAACAAGAAAGCGGAAGTCACCATGCTGAAGAATAGCGATTTCCGTTTTCTTCGTCCCTACATTCTGCTGCATTTTAGCTTTACCGGAATGCTTTATCAGCGAGGCAGGCCAAGATAGATGTGCGCCAGGCGCGTCACAGCGTAAAAGTGTTTCGTGAGATATGGCGAAGCCTTTTACGCGGGACGTCGCCTGGCGCACATCTGCCTTGTTTACGAGTTTGTGTCTACACTTAATAACGTACTCTCACTGCTCGTTTACGATTTTGCGAAGCATCCTCGTCACACAATAAAGCATTCCGATAAAGCTAACATGCAGAAGAACGCGAGGAACAAGAAAACGGAAGTCACCATGCTGAAGCATAGCGATTTCCGTTTTCTTCTTCCCCGCTTTCTTCTGCATTTCAGCTTTACCGGCATGCTTTCTATGGAAATTCATTGAGTTTAAACCGGATCCAAAGACCAGCAATTGCTTCCTGGACTATTTCCTGAGGTGGTGTGGACCCGGCGGCGGGTCGGCCAACTTCGTCCCCGTCACCAAATGAGCGTCAGCGGAGAAACAGTTCGGGAAGCATAGTACTGTTCTTCTTTGGATCCAGTTTAAAATAAGTCCTCAGACAAACGAAAATTAACTTACCGAGGGAGGAGCAATTGGTGGGAGGAGCAGGCAGGGCAAGTGCTGTGTTGAACGAGGTGGCAGGCAGGGTGTGTGGCTGCGCGGTCTGTCTGCCAACAGAGCCGCTCGCTGTCCTCGCCTTGCTCTCGCTGACGGCGGCGCAGAGCACAGGAGAGGAAGAGGGGAAAGGGGGAGGGGGGGGGGGCTGGTGCGTCTCGAGAGCGCACCGCCGTCGTTCTGCACACCAGAGCGGGAGGACACAACCACGGGAAATATGATGAGAAATAGGTTATTTCACATGGTTTCAATCGGATCCATAGAAGAACAGCACTCCTTTCTTTACTACTTCCTTTCTGACGCGGTCTCACGCGGACAAAGTTGTCACGGACCCAGTGGTGCGTCCAAGAACTCCGTCTGCGTCAGCCCATGAGCGTCAGGGAGGAGGTAGATTAGAAAGCATTACTGTTCTTCTTTGGATACTGTTTAAACTAGGTGAAATAATAGTGTATTTCGACTATCGGGGGAAGAAGAATAAAGCATTCCGGTGAAACTGAAATGCAGAAGAATACGGGGAACAAGAAAACGGAAGTCACCATGTTAAAGCATAGTTATTTCCGTTTTCTTCTTCCCCTCATTCTTCTGCATTTCAGCTTTACCGCACGGAAAAAAAACATTCGCTGTTGCAGCGAAAAATTCGCTGGCTCAGACTCGACGAATTTTATTAGTTGTCCAAGCGAATAATTTGCTACGGAAGCAAAGAATGATGTATTTTCCGAATAAGAAGAACAAAAGGAATATCGTCTGCTCCCGGACCATCACAAAGCCTCGACCAATCAGGGACGGCCTTTCTAGAGCCGGCCACGAGAGAGGCCGGGAGAGTCTCTCTCTGATTGGTCAAGGCTTTTTGTGATGGTCCGGGAGCAGATGATATTCCTCTTGTTCTTCTAATTCGGAAAAAACATCATTAGTTGCGGAGGCGAATGCGTGCCCTGACGCAGAAATGGTGCCGTTTACTGGAACAGGGCTCGCGTTAGCCACCTCAGCGAATACTTTGCTACCGTGGCAAATTATTCGCTTGGACAACTAATAAAATTCGGTGAGTCTGAGCCAGCGAATTTTTCGCTGCAACAGCGAATGTTTTTTTTTTCCGTGCGGCATGCTTTATAGCGAGTAAAACATAAACGTTACCGATTGGTCGAGAGCTTCCCGCCTCTACGTCACGCCGGCAGTGGGAGTAGGCGCTCGGCCAATCAGGAACCTTTATGTTCTACCCGCTATTCTTCTCCCTCCGTTAGTCGAAATACACTATACCTTTCTCCATGCCATATGGTGGCGCGAGTGACAATCTAGAGCAGAATACGCACTGAGTAGCATCGGGGTCAATGTCTTTGAGGTGGATGAACGCCAGACCACGTCTCGCGTAACAGGCTTCGCAATATCTACAGAGATTTCTAGTCACATCCACAAAAAATAACTAAGGAGAAGCATGGGAGAAGTAAACCGGAGACAGAGGGCGGTGGTGAAGGCTAGAGAGACTGCAAGCACGAAAACCCCCTCCCGTAGTGGTAGACTCTGACTGAGGGGGAAGACTTTTTCCTTAAAATTGACAAGTACAATGACGGACTTGCTAAACCCTTCACCGCAAAACTGTCTGGGGGGAAACAGAACCCTAAGCTAGTCCTCAGGACCTGTTCCCTTGAGGACTATCACAAGCTACTGGTGACACTCCGCACAGCTAAGGAGCCCTTCACCACATCAACCCCGCGCGAGGTGCGCCAGGAGCGTCTCGTCGCCACCCAGTCACAGACTGCCTGTCCGGGCCGCGCGCACGCAGCAGGTAAACTCACAACAGGGTGGGGGGGGGGGGGGCAGAAGGCCCGGTAACTAGCGACACTAGCGCGCCATATTTAAGAATGCACACTGATACAACACACATGCTCGCACAGTCGAACTGAAGGGACATATCAACTGCAGACCTTCTTCCTGAACGTGGAGGCCCAGCTCATTGACGAGATAAGCATGGTGTCCGACCGCAACTTCTTGGCGATTGACCAGCGCTGCAAAGAGGCGAAGGGAAATGAGGCCGACTTTGGGGGCATGTGGACCATAGTGTTTGGTTATTACAGACAACTGTCCCCGTCGGTGGCTCGCCTGTGTTCGGGGGGGACCCCTCGGGAAACCAAAGTGGGAAAACCAGAGTAAAGGGACAGTGGATCCGAAATGGCTCCCTTTTCTTGGAGCAACTTACCAAAGTGTCCAGGCATCGATGCCTGTGACCTGGATCTCAGACGCTGCTTGCAGCAGATTGTTCCCGTCCTCCCTAGGACGACTACTGGAGCGACTCCGGCCTGTCAGGAGTGCGAAATTTGTGCATCTTGTGACCCGTGGATCACCACGGTGGAATCACTCTGTGGCAGTATCCTACTAGTGATCCTGATTGTGCTTTTGACCTGGTTGAGGAAGCACTGGGGCTGCAAGATTGTCGTTGAAAAAAGAGAACGTGCGGGGAAAACCCCACAGCGCAACTTGAGCCTAGTGCGCAGACAAAGGAAGATGCCCAACCCGGGCCCCAGTGAATGCTACGACGATCTCCCACTGCCCGACGAGGTCCTATACGGTCCGTGAACCTGGTGACTTGTGGATAGCGATAAACTGTGTATGTATAGCAAAGGTTGGGAAACCATAGAGCGATGCTACCTGGATCGATCCTCCTCCCCATTCAGCGCCGGAGGGGCATCACCGTGAAGGAGACGGCGAGCCCGCTACAGAAAGGGGCGCGCACGAGGATGCTACGCCCCCTCCGCTGACCATCACTACGCCTCCACCTCTCCCGCCCACCCCATCCCCCGCTCTGTTACCTGAGCCGGCGCCCGCCCGTCTGCCTCGGCCAGAGGAGATTCCTCCCGCCAACGGGAAGGGCATCGTCCACATCGGCCCCAGGTTGCAGCCGCTCTTACCTGCGGGGCCGCTTTGGCATAAGGAGGGGTGGGTTAAAGACCAAGCCTACAAAATCTTGCGAGAAGTGAGTGCAGTTCACGTGGAAGAAGAGGTAAGCTGCTCTGTCTGCTTAAGAGCAGCTCCCCTAAAGTGTTAGTGTATTATATGTGGGTGAAAAGTGATGCAAGCAAAGTGATATGTGCAAGTGTGTTGTGTGTGCGATACGTGATAGTGCAGTGACACTCGTGATTCGTGTTTTGCAATTTGTGAACATTCGAATGGTTATTTTATGAATTAGGGGGAAAAGAGGAAAGGAGATCCCGAGCGGCCTCGCCGACTGGGCAGAAGATCCAGAAAGGAAACTAGAGGAAGAATGGAACGCAAGGTGGGTCGAGTGCAAGAAGAGCAAGGAGTTGCACCGTCTCATACCTACGGTGCAAGCACGGCGAAAACTCAAAAATTTTAAGTCCACAACAGCATTAGTCCATGCCCTGACAGAACATGGACCGTATAACAGCAAGCTACACCAAATGGGAGTAACAGACGCAGAGGCATGTGAATGCGAAGAAGAAAAGCAAACGGCGGAACATGTGATTTTCGCATGCAAACTTACAACAGAAACCTTCATAATAAGAGAGCATATTTTGTCACAATTTTTGTTCATTTGATGGAATCCTTGTTTTCCAGAAGTTGAAGAGGCGCAAAACACCACCAAAGGTCATTCTCAATTGTGCTAAAATAATAAAATCAACAGTTGGTAGTTAAGTGTTTAAGGAATCGTTATACTTCCTTCATCAAAGACTCAAGTCGCTCCCAAAGAGTTTCGGGCTCACTGATTTGTGCTAGGAAGACTTCCATTTTACAAAATATTTTGACAATAATGGATCGACGCCTAGTAAAGATTTGCACAGTACTTCTCATTTAAGTGATCAAGATTTAAAAGAGTTCAGCCCAAACCCATACCGAAGGGGCGCCAAACCCGCTCCAAAGGGGCGCCAGAATGTGCCTTGAAAGGGAACATCCCGCGGGGATTTTGGCACCCCAATCACCTTTTTTTTTTTTTTTGTCCCGGGGCGCTAATCACCGTAAGGGGGCGCCAAAACGGGTCGGATCTATCCTGTGACAAGAAATGGAGAAGTTCAGGACGCTATTTGTGGAGACTGCTTACTTTGACCCTCTCAAGCAATGGACAACTCCCTCTTCACCTTGCAAAAGCAATTTTAGGAAAAATCGCTTGGGTGATTCTCAAATAGGTATCGGAAGTCATTTGGAATTTGGATTTGTGTGTGGTTTGCTTGCTTTCTTAGACTGCTTTCCAAGGAGGGGCTGCTGCTGAACTCATGAAAAGACTCACATTCCAAAAAAGAAAGACGCACTCTCCTTTGCTGAAGAAATTTGCTCTCACACTTGATTTCCATTCTTTAAGGGCGTATGAGCCTGCTCCATCCCCGTTTACATCCGTAAGATGTATGCATGTGTTATTGATGGTAATCCTGCGTTCACGAGTCAGGCTCAAGATGCAATTAAAAGGAAAGCTGAAGACTTTAATAATGCAGGTGAAGAATTAGTTTTAGCATTGATGTTTGATGAGATGGCTATCAAGAAGAAATTAGAGCTGGTTGGGGATGAGATTGTGGGACATGTAAACTGGGGTGACGAACAGCTAACCTCAGTTGACGTCACTCCTTTGGCTACAGAGGCATTGGTATTCATGGTGGTGTCTGTGAATGACGGCAGGAAGCTGCCTGCATGTAGGTTACTTTTTTATAGAGTCTTTGAGATCAGAGCAAAACACTAATATTTTGAAAGAATGCTTACTATTTTTAAACAAGACTGGGAGCTGGCTTCTGTGACTTTCGATGGGTTGTTCAATAATATTAGCTGTGTTGTAAGTTTGGGGCTCGCTTGAATCCAATCCAGTTGCAGCCTTGGTTCATGGAACCAGCTGAGAACAGATCTCATCAAAAAGTAAATGTCTTATTAGACCCTTGCCACATGTTAAATCTATGGAGGAATACATTTGGTAATGAGACCTTAAAACTATTTGATACAGCCAACAAATGGATTTCATTTTTATATCTCAAGCAGCTTCATAGTCATCAATCAACAGAGGGCCTTCTAGCTGGTAACCGAGTCAGCCTTATCGAAGGCTTCCTTTGACTTTGCAGCTTGCGCTGTTAGTTCTCGGCTATGTCAAATATTAACCGAGAACTAACAGCGCAAGCTGCAAAGTCAAAGGAAGCCTTCGATAAGGCAAGCAAAGCTATAAAGGATAGTCCCGAGGCAATTACGAAAGTAATGGCGGAAATCCAAAAGCTAACCACTAAAGTGGAAGAGCACCCACTCAAACAGGACACCTTTGCCAAAAAGACGGCAAGGGGCCCAACATCAAACATACCAAAGCCTGTACACAGGCTGATGGTGGAGTCCAAGACAGGGAAGGAACCAAGGGAATTCCTCCGGTTCTTCGACCCTGCGATGGACGGCATTAAGATAAGAAGGGTACAAGATACCAAGGATAAAAAGAAGATAATTATAGATGAAGAAACAGCGGCATATGTAGAGATGCTGAAGAGCCTGGCAAACCACAACTTCTCCGTGCAGGAGCCGGAGAAAAAGGAGCCATTGATCATCATCTATGATGTTGACTCGACGGAATCCGCAGACGACTTAACGAATCGTCTACTGAGCCAAAATCCAAGTCTTACTGCTGGCTCGTCCTCTCGGGGACATTATGGAAAGCTTCGTGGTGTTCTTTTTGGCTGGTGTGAGCGTCTGATGCTGTATCATGTTTCACATTTCACATTGACGACAGGTGAATTTGGGA